CCTTCGTGCTAAGACGATTGCTACCACTAATAGTGTTACTACTACTACTACTACTACTACTACTACTACTACTAAGACGACTACTACTACTACTACTACTACTACGGCTACTGCTACTAGTATTACCACTATTATTACTAGTACCCCTACTACTACTACTACTACTACTACTACTACTACTACTACGACTACTACTACGACTACTACTACTACTACTACTACTACTACTACTTCTACTACTACTTCTACTATTACTGCTACTGCTACTACTACTAATACTGATACTACTACGGCTACTACTGCTACTGCTACTACTACTACTTGTACGCCGATTGTTAGCTCTGCTACTACTGCTTCCTCTACTACTACTACTGCTACTACTACTACTACTTCTACTACTACTACTACTACTACTACTACTACTACTACTACTACTACTACTACTACTACTACTACTACTGTAGTCGCGGTCGTCGTCGTCGTCGTTATCGCCGTCACGGCGGAGATACTTTTCCGTCTGTTCTTGGGCGGCATGCATGATGCTTGGGAGCTCTTTCTCCCAGCGAATAACCCATATCGGGTTACCCGACACGCGAGAGTAGTTGCGAGAATCTCTTCACGAGGATTGCAATAATAATCAATCTCTGCGGGTGTAGTCGTGATTGTAGTCGCGGTTGCAATCGCCATTGTAGTCGCGATTGTGGTCGTAATCGCCATCGCGGTTGCAGCCGCGATCGTGGTCGCAATATTGGTCGTAGTCGTAAGCGTCTTCGTCGTCGTGGCGTAGATTTGGTTCCCTCTAATGTTGGGCAGGGATGGGTAATGTAGTGGGGTACTTTTTCCCAGGGACTAGTGCCCCCTGGGCGAACTAACCTGCACGACAAAGTATTGTTGAGCACATACGCAACGGGATTGCAATACAGTTCGACAAATTCTTCCTGAGGATGGAGCTTCTGAGGATGGAGTTTCTGAAGGCCCTCGTGGGGCCTGAGCTTCACCTGTCCTTTTGAGGATGGAGTTTATGAGGATCGAGTTTCTGAGAATCGAGTTTCTGAGGTGGGATGTTCCGTGAGAGCGCTTCTGAAGGATAAATACTAGTAGCCGTTGCGGGCGCAGTCGCGATCGTAGTCTTAGCTGTAGGCGTCGTTGCTGCGCGGCGGGTGCCGCGGGACCAAACAAACAGTGTCCGCTTGTGGCGGGCCACTGATGGACAACCAGTCCGTGAATAAGGCTGTCGAAAATTATGTTGTTACCCCCATGTTTGGGGGGGTCTAAAGACTTACCGCAGTTACTGTCAGGGCGGGACCCCGTGGAGGAAGCCCACTGGTCTCTTAGCTTCCCGAGTTAATGTCGAATCGTCGGCCCGCCAGCGCCATGGCTGCCGAAATTGCTGCAGCAGGATTAGCAAGCCACATCGGATTTTGAAAAGTCGTTTTCCGGGAGGGCCTCCTTGGACACCACTTGCACAACCGTACCCTAGGCCGCTGGCCTCAAAGGTGGGCCCGCGCCCTGGCGAATGCCCTTTCTGCAGTCGAACGTTCTGCTCATGTCTCCTGTATGGCCTGGTGTAGTCTAGTGATGAGTCGCCCTCCGGTTGGCTCGGGAAGGTTTGCCCGTTGGCTTGTTCAGCAGAATCCAGTTCCTTCAGCACGCCCTCTCTCTGTCAATGCCTGCAGGTTCTCGGCGCATAATTTCGCTCCAGATTATAGTCCGATGCTAGTACGGGAATGCCGTCGTCAGGGCATGTTCGTTCTTTTTGAAGTTTGATGCCAGACGAGGGGAGGGGGGGAGGCCGAATGCTTGCTTTTGTATTCAGCCGTCTCCGGATCTCGATCTCCCTCCTTCCCATGCACATATGTCACTGCAATGCTTCCCCGCGGCCCTGGGCCTTCCAGCAGAGTCTAGCTCGTTCAGCCTGCCCTCTCTCTGTCAAGGCCTGCAGGTTCTCGGTGCAACCTTTCGCTCTAGACTCTAGAGTATAGTTCGACACTGCCCCCAGAAATACCGTTATTATGGCATGAGGATGAGGAGGAGGATCATCATGATGATGCATATGGTGATGATGATGATGATGATGATGATGGTGATGGTGATGATGATGATGATGACTACGATGATGACGATGACGATGAGGAGGATGAAGATGATGAGGCTGATGATGGTGGTGGTGATGTTGATGATGGCGCTGGTGATGGTGATAGTTCTGACGGCTATGCTGACGATACTGATGAGGATGATGAGGATGATGAGGATGATGAGGATGATGACGATTATGATGATGAGGCTGATGGTGATGGTGATGGCTGTCAAAAGATGAGGGTCATGATGGTGATGATGATGATTATCATGATGAAGATGCTGTTGGTGATGATGACGATGTTGATGTTGGTGAGTATGGTGATGACGACGATTAAGATGATGATGGTGGTGATCGTGGTGATGATGATGCAGATGGTGATGATGATGAAGAAGAGGAGGACGAGGAGGATTCGAATGAGAACGATGGTGAGGATGAGGATGACGACGACGATGAGGATGAGGACGAGTTGGATGTTGATTATCATGCTGATGATGAGATTTGTGATTGTGATGATGATGATGACGATCGTGATGATGATGATGCTGATGATGATGATGATGGTGGTGGCTGCGGTGATGGTGACGTTGATGGTGGGGGCGATGATAATCCTGGTGGTGGTGATGATGCTAAGGGGGAGGATAATGATGAAGAGGAGGGTCAGGAGATGATAATAGTGGTGATGATGATGATGGTCAGGAGTATGAGAAGAAATAGGATGATGACGATGATGGTGATGATGAGGATGATGAGTATGGTGCTGATGGTGATTATGATGGTGATGCTGAGAATTATGCTGGTGATGATGATGATGATGATGATGATGATGATGATGATCATGGTGATGATGATGATGATGATGATGATGATGATGCTGATATGATGTATATGATGATGATGATGATGATGATCATGATGATGATGATGATGCTGATGATGATGACGATGACGATGACGATGACGATGACGATGACGAGGAGGGGGAGCAGGAGTAGGAGGAGCAGGATGAGCACAAGGCCTCCCTCTGACGCGCCTCCCTGCGAGGATGACGAAGATGAAGAGGCGGACGTGGACAACGACGAAGAGTAGGAGAAGCAGGGGGGAGGACGAGAAGGACAAGGGGGAAGGGGAGGACTAGGATGAGGAGCATGACGACAGTTGACTTTTTTTTGATTTGGGTTCGGGTAAGGGACACGCCCCTACTCCAATTGGCGTTCGATCGGGAGCAAGCTGGAAAAGAGAGCACAGATCGAACAAATGCAAGGCTAAAGCGTTGCGAGCACTGATGGCCGCACAAGGAGATTGAGTCATGCCACCTTCAATTTTCTCTCTTGAGTTCCCCCATCCCATCATCAGTGAAGATCCCATCTTGGACGATTGAGCCTAGATCGCACGGTGGCTGGCTATCAGGGTGGACGCAGGCGAGTCTCGGCAGCGCGCGGCGGCACACTGCACTCGGGGCAGGCTGGAAAAGATGCCACAAACAAGTCACAGCTGCTTCACAGTTAGACGATCGTGCTGGCAAGACATGTCGGTGCGAGTACAGCTGGCACTAAGTGATCTGGTGCGGAGTTGTGTGGAATGGGGTTGGTGATATCGGCCGCGCAGCCGACTATGACGAGGAAGAACATGAACAGGAGGCCGAGTAAGACCATGAGGGGGAAGACAGGGTGAGGAGGACGAGGAGGAGCAGACGGAGGAGGAGGAAGAAGAGATGGAGGATGAGGAGGAGAAGCAGGAGGATGCGGAAGGGGAGGACGAAGGAGAGAACCAGGAGGAACACGAGCAGAAATACTGATGAAGATCATGTCGCCGGCAACGACGTTGCTGATGAGGATGATGGTGATGATGGAGATAATGATGAAGTTGTTGATGATGATAATGACGATGATGGTGATGATGGTGATGGTGATGATGATGATGATGATGATGATGATGATGATGATGATGATGATGATGATGATGGTGATGGTGATGGTGATGGTGATGGTGATGGTGATGGTGATGATGGTGGCGGTGGTGATGGTGAACGAACGAACGAACCACCACTGCGGAAAGGCGTCCGGGCCTCTTGAATCTCAGGCGCAAGGAAGATATGAGCACGCATTGGGGCTGCGAGTGGTGATGGTGATGGTGATGGTGATGACCATGACGATGATCATGATGATCATGGTGATTCTGCTTACGGCGATGATGGTGGTGACGACGACGACCACGACGACGATGATGATGACGATGATGATGATGATGATAATGATGACGGTGATGATGCTGATAATGATGATGACGATGCTAACCGTGATGATGATGATGATGATGATGATGATGATGATGATGACGATGATGATGATGATGATGATGATGATGATGACAATTACGATGCTGCCGGTGATGCTGATGATGATGGTGCTGACGACTATGGCTATGATAATGTTGGTGGTACCGGTGCCGACGATGGTGATGCTGGTGATGGTGATAACGGCGAGGATGCTGCAGATGGTGATGATGATGTTGTCGTTGCCGACGACGCTGATGGTGATGGTGATGATGATGATGAGGAGGATGCGGATTAGGATGATGACGAGAATGAGGATTGGACATTAATGATGGTGTTGATGATGGGAATGATGATGAGGATGATGATGGTGATGATGGTGATGGTGATGATGGTGGTGGTGGGGGGTGTTGGTGGTGATGATGGTGCTGCTGCTGATGGTGATGGTGGCGGTGGTGGTGGTGATGGTGATGGTTGCGAAGGGGATGATGATGCTGTTAAAGATAATGCTGGTGACGACGATGACGACGACGACGAGGATGATGATGATGATGATGATGATGATGATGGTGATGATAATGATGACGGTGATGATGATGAGCAGGAGGAGGAGGAGGAGGAGCTGGAAGAGGCAGAGGGCCTCCCCTCGAGGTGCGGGAGCGCATCCACGGCGTCGACGTCCAGGCGCGTGCTTGTCTTCTTCTGCGGTGGTACCCTGTGCGTGCTGGGCTCTGTCGACGGGGCCTAACTGAGCGACGCAGAACAACGCGTTCGATTGTGCTGGCATTCCCGCATAAGCTGCCCGCGTAAGGTCGCGCGTGCGCGCCCTCGTTTCCAGCGTAGCGTGCCACGCTGGCGGCCTGCGAAAGCTGCGGTCGTTATGCCATCTCGCGTGAGGTCCGTTTCTGATCGTCGCTCAATTAGCGATGGCTAAACCCGACACCCAGGGCAACGAAGAGCGGCACCCCACGGGCGAGACTTCATTGGCGACAACTGGTGAGTTTGGCGCCCAGGGCAATTCATGGCGGGACCACCTGGGTGGAACTTGGTTTGGCCCAAGGGCGACTACTGTGCTACTGCGAGGGCGTTTGTCAAGGAATGTGCTCAGGAGGCTTCTGAGCTTGTAGGGTTCCTTATCTGATGAGTGCAGTGGTGATATCCATCCATAGCCAAGTCCCAATTGGCGTCCCATCGGCTGCCAGACCCTGCTCCTTATCCAATGGGTCCTGATCCAATGCCCTCGCCGTATGGGCGCAACTATACTGTCTGGCCCTTCGGGGCGGCGACCAACACCAGGGCAGCTAAGGGCCGGATCCCGTGGGCTGCGCCCTGAGGGCGGCTGCCCGAAAGTCTGGCCCACATTTCCAGGTACTTCTGCTGCTGTTCAGAGACCCGTACTGCGGGGGCATGTGTCGAGGAATGTGCCCAGGAGGTTTCAGACCCTGGAGGACTCCTGATCTGCTGAGTGCGGCGGTGATCTCCCTGGACAAGCTCCAACTGGCGTTCCATCGGCTTCCAGACCCTGGATCCCTTATCCACTGGTTCCTTGTCCAATGCCCTCGCCGTAGTGCACGCATTGGTGGAGGAATGAAACCAGCCATCCCTCCTCACTGTTCCTCTCGGCGGCCTGGAATAATGGGAGAACGGTGGCAGGGGGGTGGGGATCGAGTCAGAGGGAGGACGGCCAGATGGAGGGCGAGAAAGGGGAGAGGAGGGGAACGGATCCTTCCCGACATGCTTCCTTGTCCTTACTTTCCCGCCTCCGCTTCGTCGACGCTCGACCAACATCTATTTGAAATTTGTCCTCAGATCTATCCCAGGGTCCATCCTGGCCAGTCTTTCGAGCGGTGTGTAGTCGTGGCGGCGAGAACGTCCAGAAAAGCCAAAACCTCCGAATCGACGACAACGATCTCGTCGTCGTCGTCGACTCTGAGGTTCTCGTCGTCCTGCGCCTCCTCTTGATGGCTGGTGCTCAGCCACTGGAGGCTGCCCATGGGCAGGTGGCAGATCTCTGCGGGAAGTCAGTCGCAATAGGGAGAGGGAGATCCTTTCGGACGAGCAACTCTCCTTCGTCGTCTACCTCCTCCTCCTCCTCCCGCATCGGAACAGCCCTGAACAGCTATTGTGCGTGGTCGGCCAGCCGAGTTTGCGAGCGACTGGTGGTTGTGGCGGGCGACCTCAACTACACCGACGGCGATCAGTTGGACTACGCTGAACCGAGGAACGCTCCAGACAATGAGCGAAGACGCGACCAGGCGGCCCCACGGTTCTGGCAGAGAGCGTTGGGGCGATACATGCAGGTACTCCTTGACTCGCCAACCCACTTCAATGTCAGGCGCCAGCGATCGACGACACTTGATCGGCTCTTCGTCACGCTACCACCAGCAGCGACGCCGGGGGTCAAGCTCATCGCCGCCGTGGCCACCGATCCAGCAACGCTCTCTGACCGCAAACTCAGCGACCATGGGATCATGACGTTGGAGAGAGGAGCAGCTGCAAGTCCCAGGTGCGAGGGCCGGCCCATCCCTGAGTGGATCTGCCGCGAACCGTTGTTCTCCGAGACCTTTGAGCGCATCCAGTAGGTCTCGCGCATGCCGGACAACCCCGTACAGGCGTGGCAGGCGACCAAGGCGAACATCAAATTGGCGGCCAGACTCACGAGGAACGTGTTGATCCGGGAGCCTTCGTTGGGCTCCAAGGCCAGCTACCCTGACACGATCCTCCTTGTCTACAGATCTGCGGCCAGGGCTGTGTGGAGGGAGGACGCTCGCACGCTCAGTGCTCTGGTCAATTGTGCGCCTGTGCTGCACCCATTTTTTCATGCACGACCCAGAGGCCCCAACTCTCAGACCCAAGAGCCTTTGCGGCTGCCCTCCGAGCAACGGCCTCGACGGTCCTTGACCGCGACCGCAGGGCAGCGCTCGAGAACGCCACCGTGGCACAGCGACACGCAGCCTCGGACGCTGGCGCTGTCTGGAAGGGTCGTGCGCAAGAGGACGGCCCAGAAAGCACGCCTCCAGAAGCCTTTCCACTGCTTGCAGGTGCTAGCTGGCGTCATCCAGCCTCACCAGCAGCACGGTGACGCCTCGGTGCCGGCGGACGTCTGTGCGGAGGTGGCCACCGCCGCTGCCACCATGGCGGATGCGCTGCGGGCGCACTGGGCGTCAGTTTTCGCGTCGAAGTCTGTCCCACTCAACGAGATCCACAATTACCTGGAGGTACACTTCCCGGACTGCCGTCGTGCGAGCTGTTGGTGCCAGAACTCGCGGACCTCGAGAGAGTCGCGCGCAGGGCGCGCCCTACTGCCCCTGGCCCCGATGGGGTGCCGTATGCCGCCTGGGCCCGTGCTCCTGGAGCGATCGACCGGCTTCATGCCGGCATGCTCGCGCTGATGGATGGTGCGGCGCCTCCGCCAGAGTTGACCGAGTCGTGGATGCACTTCGCCCCGAAGCCCAACGAGACCCCCACGGCTGCTGCCGTCATGCATACCCCCGATAAGGTGCGCCCATTGTCTCTCAAAAGCTCGGACTCCAAGCTGCTGGCATCCGCGGCGAACCACTTCCTCTCCGCCCTCGCGGAGCGGACAGTATACCGGAGCCGCAGAGAGGCTTTGGGCGCGGCTGAAGTTTCTTGCACAACGTTCTCCGCCTCGACGTTCAAGGGCGCGCCGCCACGCTCGGATCCGCGGAGGAGATGACCGTGCGCAAGCCCTGCACGTTCAGCTTTGACGTCGCTGCGGCCGTCCCGAGCCTGGCCTGGGCGTGAATTTGCAACGCTGGGGTGGTACGGCATCCCTGCAGGACGCGTCCGACTCATCAGGGCGCTCTACGCGAATTTAGCTTCCTGGACCCGGTTCGGCTCTACGAAGCAGTTCTTGTGTGTCGTTCTCATTGGGGTTGCTCTGGGCTGCCCTCTGTCGGGCGCGATACGGGCATTCGTCACTGCCACTTTTGTGGAGGAACTGGCTGCTGCCATGGCTTTGCCATCGCGTTCCCTGGCGGCGCGCCCTATGGCGACGGAGCCCGTGGTCGGTCCGCGAAGGGGCGGCGAGCTGGGTGCATGCGCGGATGACATCGGCATCGTCATATGGGACATCTGCACTGTCATCTGGTTGGTGCCGCACTTCGTCGCCATGCAGACCCTCGCCGCGCTGCACCTGCAGCCTAAGACGTGCGTCATGGTGCCGCTATGGGCTCCACCTTCCGAGTTCCTCGCGGCGATGGCAAATATCCGGCGCTCGCTCGCCAACCTTGGGATTCATGCTTGGCCCTGGCGCGGCCCTCATGGACAGCTGGCAGGCCGCCATCAACCTAGATCGGCAGCGGGTAAACGCGCTGAAGGCAGTCCCAGCACCTACGGAAGAGATCATCAACCTGTACAATTCCGCGACGTTGTCGGTCCTCTTGTACATCGCGCAGCTCCTGCCTTTCGAAGAAGAGACAGTCAAAGGCGAGCTCGACCTGCTCCACGTCATCCTGAAGGTGCTGCCCAAGGGGCCCAAGAGCTTCGCACTGAGCGACCTCCTCAACATGAGGGATTGGGTGTCTGGGCCCACCCCGGCGGCGCTGGTGCCGGCTGCCCGCAACTTGGATTGCGGCTTGGAGGACATCGGAGGACACTCTTCGGGGATGGCGCGATCTCTCCGAGGCATGGCGGCAGCGAGCATCGGACGTCCTACCAACCCGCGCGGTGTTGGACGGCCAATGGGCCGCCCATTTCGGGACCCAGCGTCAGTCGACGGCCCAGTTCCTGTACGCCGTGCCAGAAGCTAGGATCGGTGTTCCTAGCGCGCGGCAGCGCCAGCATCGTGGGCAGGCTCTGAGTGCAGGTAATGCCGCGGCGACAGAGGAGATCCAGCTGACTGCCGCTGCGGGCCGCCGCTCGCGCGTGCAGCGCGCCCACGCGCGGGGGGCCTCCCGAAGCTCGTATTCGGAAGAGTTCCACAAGACCATCGAGCGCCGCCTGCGTGCGTGGTGGCCGCAGCACCCTGTCCCAGGCGATCTGAAGCGGCGCTGGGAGGTGCTCCGACGCCAGCTGGCCAACGCAGCGCCCGGAACCTGCTGGGCAGCCTTCCGATCTTTCGCGGGAGGATGGCCGACTTCGAATTGGGTGCACGCCGGCCAGCGCCAGTTGAGCTGCCGACGGGGATGCGAAGGCGCAGCTTACGAAATGAGGCACTACCTATGTGGCTGCCGCGGATCATGGTGGAGCGTCTGCGTCTCAACGCTGGCCTTGGCGCGCGGCTCTGTGCTCCACCGCCTGGGACTCGGAGACACGGCGGAGTACGACCGTCTGTCGCGCGGCGAGAACACAGAGAACATCTTGTCGCGGATTGTGGCCTGGCTGGCTACGCTCTACCACACCTACAACCCGTTGCGGCACCGCTCTGCTGGGCACGTGGCCTCGCCAGCCACTGCCTTGGCGCTGGCGCGCGCGTGGCGGCCCAGCGTGTGAAGCTACCCCGACCAACGACTACTACGTCTGAGTCTCGCGACAATTCGGCTGCTTAGGCCGCTGCTGCTGCGGGCGCACCCCTCTGAAGTGCGGGCGCTCCTCCTCCTCCTCCTCCTCCTCTTCCTCCTCCTCCTCCTGCTTTTCCTCCTCCTCCTCCTCCTCCTCCTCCTCCTCCTCCTCTTCCTCCTCCCCAGATGCCTTCGCGTCGTGGAAAAAAACACGACGGGAGG